ATAATAATATATTTAGGTACCTTTATATATTATAAAATATAGAAGAAAAAATTATAGAATGGATACACAACACGATTCTCCGAAAACCAAATATTTATTCAGCCACTATAGTAATAAATATCTGACATCTGAGTTAAACATTATATTATTATATAATACATAACAAACAGTGTTCGTTACAACCGATGTGTTTACTTAACAGCGCGACAAACATGGAAAAAAAACCGATCGGAACAGGTACAAAATTTATAGTTGTATAATATATTATATTATTATACAGCTGTAACGGTACCTATATTATATTTAACTATTTAGATTTTAGTATTCAGCTGTTGTCTTTTTATTTTTACGTTATTTACATATGAATATACTGTGCCTACGATTAATAACAATTAAACAGTATGACGTAACTGTTAAGCCTAAATTATACAGTTCAATATATAATTACCATTAATTAAACTATTTTCATGATTAATTACGTTACGCAAAACAGTAGTCGACTGTACGACTTTAAAACGAAGCCAATGACAATTATTATTAATACATTTTCCTAAATCGAACATCGGCAGCCAGCATAGCACCTCCACTCATCAACAGCAGATATTATTATGTCCTTATCGTGTGACAGGTGGCAGGAAAAATAATAATTTTAGGGTTTTTCTTATTTTTGGTTTTTCGGTTTTTACTCTTCGGATCTAGTTGTCCCAGCCATATAACTGTATGTCCTGAATTGACTTTTTCACCTCTTTTGCTCCCTCCCCTTGCCTCATGATTTTTAAATCAGTTTTCTATCAATTTTGACATACACCTATACCCTATACGTCATAATATGGTAGAATTATTTATACGCGTACGATGCGTGTGCCTTATTTGTGGGTATTTGCTGCGACAAAAGTTGCTTTATTAGCGACCGTTTCGAATTAACTAATACTATATTATGTGTAAGCTATACCTATATTTATTATAATATTATAAAATGTTGTGTTCATGCCGATTCGAAATAAATCCTGCCGTATAATTATTACAATGCGTATATATCGTACGAAACTGTTGTCACGAACTGCATCGTATGGTATAATTATATAGGTACGCATATATTATAGGTACGTGTGCACTGCCGTACACGGAAACAAAACAATATTATTGCAATTCGTTCGAAGTCGCATAATATGGTATTTAGATGATATTATTACCTACAGAGTTATTTAAAATGCATCATCTGTCGCTTTGCACCTGTCTCCGTATATATATAGGTCACTTGGCCTCATCCCATTGTGACTACGTCTTATTTTGCAGGGATATTATTATGTTAAAGAAACTGTGCGTCTTCTGTTATCATCGACCACAGAGGAGCTAAAAAAAATTGCGGAATAGATTACAATACGGATGTATGTGAATGGAATAGTTCCGAGTAGATGAGCGCTGTTTGAGTGACCATAATATGCAAGGGAACCCACATTGAACATAATATTTTGTGGTACTATAAAATAATTTTGAAATATTGTTATTTTTGTTTAAGTGTATCATATTATTAGTATAATCAATTAATCTTTATATATAAAACAATGTCGGCTTAGTTACACCATTCACCTCAAGAACGGCCGGAACAATTGCTATGATCTCTTATTATTTTTGGATTCGTCGGTATAATAGCAGAATAACTGTTAAAATATAGGAAGAATCCACCGGTTAAGTAGGAAATTGGATGGCTAAAATACAATAGAGGCGCCATCTATCCAGAAAAAATAAACTAAATAATAATATATTATTGTTTATTTTAAGGTTGCTAGTTGCTACTGTTGGTTAAGCTTGAGCATCACCTTACACCTGCATGTATTACATTTGGTCAAAACCATAATATAACTTAGTCAAAATGGTATTCCTAACGCAAATTTTTAGACCGTTGTCCCGGGAGCCTACCAGGTACTGGAATCGAACCTAAAAGAACCGGTTCTGGAACCGGAACCTTTAAAATATTAAGAACCGTAACTGGAAACGAAAACTTTATTTTAATAAATAAAGTATCGGAACCGAATCAGAATTTTTAAATTAAATAGGTTTTTTTAGATTCAAATATAAAATATTTCAATTTATCATAATTTAATGGAATTACGGTTTTGTGTATAAGCAATGCATCACCTCACACTATTAAGTAAACCCGTATTCCGGATAGACATTTAAAATTATTATACTTTTCGGTACCTAATCACTGTCTGGAACCGATACCTTTATTTTTTTTTAGAACCTAACCGGAACAGTTATAATGTTTTTGGAGAACCAGTACCGGAACCGATACCGATAAATTCGAACGCATTCACATCATAATCAACGTGTTAGTAACACATTCGTAATTGCGTAGGTACGCACCTAGCGGGCTCTACCTAAAAATATACTGCTCGCATAATAATGTCTCAAGGGAGGGATGGCTATATACAACATTAAAATAAAATCGAAAGTGCCCTGACCGATTCACTGACCGATCAAAGTAGAGAACAAACAATGATAGATTGAGGCTTGCAATTTTCACGGTACCTTCGTACCACCATGTGGGCGTTCACTAAGAAGAAAGCGTCTTTTAAAATTCGCATTTGTGCTCTCACAAGTATTTTGTGATTCAAGAATGGTGAATATTATTAAATTACTAATAGAACAAAGTTTGAATCGCATAGAGTTGGCACGTTGGAAGGTGTAGTGCACGGGATCAGCTACCCTGCAGTGTTAATCCAAAAAGTAAAAACTTAAAATACAGTATATTATTATCAAGCGTTTTCTATCGGTCGAAACCAATCATCTTCACATACTGTATGAAAATGTGTCGTAAACGGTTCGGACGTCGGTTTACGAGTTACATGACTATTACAGTTGTGTATAGGTATTTCCCGGATGATAATAATAATATGTACGGCGACAAAGCGACGACGACGTACGATTAAATTATTATTATTATTATTATATTGTCGCGATATTAAACCGCGTTTTTCCGTTATGATAATAATAATGAAAATCTGAACTCCGGCCGTGGTGCATACCGTTTCCGAGGGAGAGGGGGGGGGGTGGTTTCGGTAGCGAAGCGGCGGCGGTACCTTTCTGCCGAATGATTAATCGCGCGAAACACAACGTCGGCCAACTGCGAAAACGTCGCGCCCCGGTCGCGTTTACGATTAGATTCTGTCGGAGGCCGCCGCAGCAGCCGTCGGGGCGGTCGTGTACATAATAAATCACGCTGCACTCTGCTCGCGTACAAGTATATAGTACACCATTACGTATATATATATATATATATCGTATCGTATCGTATCGTATCGTATTGTATTGTGTAGAGCTGACGGCACTGGTCGGCAGCGGGTTGGAGAGAGACAGAGAATCGGAGTAAACCGAAATCGTATTTAATATTATACGGAATAATAATAATATGTAAACCGCGGGTTGCGCGCGGTCCGGCTATATAGTCGATATTATCGAGGTGGCCGAGACGTGTTATTATTAAATATTATATTACACTGCGGCGACGACGACGACGACGACGATAATAATATATCGACAATATTATTATGATGACGGTTATACGGCTCTCGTAGGAATATAACATAGTAAGTCTCGTGGTCTCGTCACTGACCATGTAAAAATTAGAGGGACTACACGTACGAGGGTGGGAGTTGGTCGTGTTCACCAGCCCAGGGAGCGTTCATTAGCGGCTATTCAACCGCTCTTAACGCGTCCGACCCCGTCACCGTCAATTTATGTGATGTGACCGTCTGTGTATACATGTACCCCATGCACCCGTCATCTGTACAGTTTTTTCGGGGATGATGTGTCGCGAGTCGAACGACTTTTGTAAGAGCATTATCATAATAATATATATGCGATAAATTATTACATAACGTATAGTGTGTATACATAGCCGTCGACCGCCATCGACGGTCTGGTGCCGAGACCTACAGTACCCTATGAGACCTATTATGATATAATATATGCCTATTGAGTAAATAACATATTATATATAAGTTATAACCCATATAATGCCGCCTGCTTTTGGGTTGTAGACGGTCTTGTAAAGTATATAGGTACTCGAGTAAAAGTATTCAAATACTTTCTAAGTACATATACCTACTCAAATACGTATTTTGAATACATTAAAGTATATACTCGGACAATGTATTTTAAATACTTTCTGAAATTACGCGTATTTAAAATCAAATAGTTGTTCTTTTTGGTTTATACATTTTATGTTAATCATCATGCGAGATGAAAAAAAACTAAAAAAATCGAATTTATAATAATAAATTTGAGTTATACTCAGCAGAAAATTCAATCTTTCGACAAAAAAACAAAACTTATTATGAGAAATTTATAGTTACACCAAATAACTGGGAGTGTAACAAAAATATACCATTTAACTAACAACATGCATTATATAATACTATTATGCCTTGTTCGAAATTTGGATTTTCCGCAGAGTTTTTGCGGGAGGTGCGGTCAAGGGTTCGGGTGCCTTGGGCATATTAAAATATTACGGTCGCCGACTAAAAGTCGACTTATATTCGCTTCACGCACATAAATATATATCTTTTGTACGGCATTACACTATACGCATATATATATATATATTCTATGTATATATATATATACTATATTTCCGTTGTACATAATTTCCGCATTCGTCGAGGCATAAATCATAATAATATAATACATAGTGCGTACTTCGACCCTGCACCACTCACCGCGGTATACACTACAACGCGATCGTGTATATAAATACTTTTGCGGATTTTCGTATTATTTTGTCTCATAATAATAATAATATAATATATACCATTATTATTATACAGGACGTTGGCGGCACGCCGTATTTCACGTCGTCGCGTGCAACAACTGAGACGAGTCAGACGAGTATATAATATTATAGTAAGTTGCTGTACCATCGATTTTAATGATTGGTATTTAGCCACCAACACGGATCGCAGTAACGATACTGCAGTAATGACTTAGTATTTTTTTCATTAATTTTTGCCTCTCCATTGTACAGCCCTATCAAACCATAGGACGGCAGGAGTTTCAAAGACATGGGTAGGCATTTCTTCTTCCAGTTTCCATATGGCTGCAGTGCTGGAGGCTTCAACTGGAATCACTATCTGTTCCCCCACTGTGGGCCCTGTGTCTGAGGCCATGGAAGAATATAGACACAGTAAACCCCACTTGCCGTAAAAGGGGACTGAAGGGGTGGGCTTGCGACCTACGCATCTCAGGAGAGCGCCCGACGTAAAGGCCCGCCGCAAAGCAGATCCTGGGAGATCGAGCATGAACATGAACATCCGATCGATGATGACCTATCTAACGGAGGTAAGATCGGTACCAAGGAAAGGGGGGAGCCCCACTGCCCTGATTTATGCCAGAGTCATTGCCCTCCTGCTCTGGGCACACCGTCGGGCATTGGTTTCGTGGTGGCTGTAGATGTAGCTACTGTGTGGTAAGCCAACACTGGCAGGGGAAGGCCTCCAGTGAACGGCTGCACCGTCGGGGGGGGGGCAACCTCTTCGGCGTTGTAGTTTCTCCTGGACACACACCCGGTCTACCGCTGGATAAAATCAGCGGAGGTTGCCTGTAACCAAAAACAAGAAGTAATTGGATAGGTCAAGACCTCACCAGAGGTGGTACATGGTGACTCCAGACTGCTGGTGGTCCTTAGACGACACTCCCGTGGCGTGGGCGAACCTGGACTCGTAACTAGCGCACAGCGCTAATACACGGTCCATAGTTGTAGCCGTCAAACCTGGGATAATCATGTTCCCTCGCTATACGATATGAACAGCTAGAATACCGAAATGTTGTCCACCCGAGTGCGGGTTTTGATCTGGGGAATACAAAGTAGTCAAATCTAAAACTGAGATCGCAGGCAAATGAGGTGGTTTTCCACAGAAATCACTTTTTTTCACAGACTCTTGTCCGAGATGGCCATGTGACTGGCGGAGCGTTGTCGTGGCAGAGCAAGTGCAGTCTACAATGTCCACTCTGACGCAAATCATTTTTTTTTCTTTTTCGTCTCTTTAATTTTCTGTCACACCTCGTACACCTCGTAAACACTATACATACAAATTATACGTAATATGTTCAAGATACATCACAATGAGTATACTTGGCCAGTTTCGCTATATATATGTATAATAGTACTGCTATAGTACTTTATAGATGCCCAACACTTTAAATGTTTCACTAATAACTAAATACTAGATACTCGATAGTCAACAGAAAGGAACATGAAAAAATGATTATAAACGTCAACAATTTCGAAGTTGATTTTTTCGTTGGTATAAAAGTGATTTATTTAAACAGTAAAAATAAAATGAATAGATATCAGTTCATTATCTGAATTTAAATATTTTATTTTTATGGGTTACGGAAAAATCAAGTATCTAATAAGTAATAATAGATGTATAAACTAATAAATTAGAAAGATAAACTAATAAATTATTACCCTCCGGAATAAAAAAAAAAAATAATAAGATATATAACAGTTTCTTAGTCAAATTACAAAACAATTTAGTTAATAATATAATACAAAAAAGTGTTATTTTTATTAAAATCTCTATTAGTTACTTATATTAAAATGTCTTAATCAAGGCTGGGCAAGTTACTGATTTTTTTTTAACTCAGTTAAGTTAAGTTAATATGCACCAATAACAGAAACTTAAAAGTTAAAAGTTAATTCAACTATAGGTTAACTTAGTTAAGTTAATAGTTAATACACATTTTTTGTTAACTTTTTATTAAGTTAAAAAAAAGTTAATTTGTTTATACAACGCTAAAGTACTTAATTTTTTTCCAACCCAAAACTAAACTATAAACTACAGTTTTACACTTTATACAGTATTTCAATATTCCATATAAGTTAGATTCGAATGATATACATTTTTAACTTAAAACAATTCACGATAAATATTTTTTGACATGAAATCGAAATAGACTGAAATAGTGAAATATAATAAAGTTAAAAACAAAATAAATTAACTTAACTTACTTCTTAAAATGAAAAATTAATTCTTTAAGTAATTCTGTATAACTGAACTTTAACTTTTTAACTGGTAAATATTAAATGCCCAGCCTTGATCTTAGTGAATATAATATTTGTCATGGGAACTAAAAAAAAAATAGTTTTATAAAAATAAAAATTGCGTTTATAATAATACAAATTGATAGACATGAGTTCAAAGTAAAATATATATTATGGCTGGCACTAGTCAATAAAACAATATTTATAGTCAATTAAATAATATTCATCTGTATATTTTGAAAGTAGAATAATATCATAAAAAAGTGACTGGTGCCTACCGTTTGGTTGGACAAGAACACTTGATATCAACCTAAAACATTATATTATAATGTACGGTTTCTATTTATTATGGATACCACACATATTATAATGAAAAATAGAATGAAGACGTAAACTGAGTATGTTTTTATTTTATCGAGCATTGTTGCATGTTAAAATTAAAATTATATTTTTGAAATAATCGATACACATAATAATATAATGATACATGCCCATTTCCCATAGATGAAAAATGTGTCACGATACAGAAGACTCGATACTTTTCATAAGAGTGCTGGGTGATTCAATATAAATTGATAAAATCGAATACAAGACATGATATTATTGTATCCACGTCTATTAGGTAATAACCAAAGACTTATAGGTAATAACTTATTGCATATAAAATAGCAATAAAAATCATAAATATGCAAAAATTGGCAAAATAAAATTTCGTGTATGACATCAGATAAGTAAGAAACATATTTGTATCTTACTTTGGGTGTTCTAGGACAAACCAAAAAAAATATACATTTGCCACAACTTCCGAGCCCTGGTAATAAAGTATCACAGATATATCTGAGCTGCACTTAATTCTACAGTTCACGTACCTATACATTGATCACGACTATAGGAAATGATATGCGCCAGTTTAGGTAATATTTTTTTTTTTATATATACACAATGTGTTGGGAGAAATAAGTACAGATATATCACTCGTCAAGGGAGATAAAATTAAATTTGACTTAAGAGGATGTCAGTGCACTATTTGTTTTGACCCAGAATTTACGCTTATAGCGGAACCATCCGAGTGAATTCACCTACTTTAATACATTAGAACATTACCTACGTGGTTTGTATTATTTTATAATATATATTTTTATTTTTATGTAAGTTATGAGTGTGTGAATTATTACAATTTAAAAAAGCATTTTTAAATTGTATAAAAAGTAAAATATTGTAAGAAAGCCAACGTTATGACACAGGCAATGTTCTTAGCTTAAAGTTTGATAATAGGTGCAAAATTAATATAACAATAGGAACAACACAGTTTGGTCTAATCCTAAATGTGCTATGTTGCGCGTGGGACAGGGAGAGAAAACAAATTTGTGGTGTGTTGATTACGTCCTCTTAAGTATTTCTCGAGCTATATCCTATAGTAAATAAATAATTCAGACGTCGAACTCACTTCCGAGTAATATTTTTGTTTCACTCGGACCAGAGCTCGCTGTGAATGTTTCCGAATACTGCACAAAGTTTTCGATGGACTTGGACGTCATTACAGTCGAACAGTTTACGGTCGGTTTTTTTTTTTTTTTTGGTCACTATCGAGAAGACTTAATATAAAAATCATAACTTATACAGATATATATATACATATACGCGTGAAAACAACGTGGCGAAAACTATATTTTTATAAATATAATACGTATGCAATGGACACAATGGACTTGGGTGGCTCACGGCCAGCTATAATAATAATAATAAGTGCGATCCACCGAACCCTTCCTAAAAGTCATTACGGCTATAACACATATATATATATATATATAGGTACGTTCATCTCTCCTGCATTCTCTGTCCGACTGTTCTTGTCTCTGTCTCCGTCTTCCCTACCCCATCCCTATAATCCTCCTCCACTCTCTCGTCAGTCATCCCTCTCTCAAGCCTTATTGCAAAGTATTATACCGTTAGCGGATTTCGCGCGACTATTAAACCTGTCTATATATTATTTTATAATAATATATTTTAATGTAATGTGTAATAACATAATATACCCTAGCACGAGGTCATATGATATATATTAATTAAAAATCGTACAGGTGGTCATATATTATATATGTGTGAACCTTCCGTACTCGTTTATATGATATAAAATACATAGGTAGTACAAATTAATATCATATTATTATGAAGGCGGGATCTCACGACTCGTGTATTTGACGAATATCCACGAATACTCGAATAATCGGCAAGTTACCGACAATCGACGGGAAGATTACGAATAACGAATATTCGTACAAATACTCCTTTCCCACTAGTCGGCGAGTATCCACGAATACCAAATATTCGTCAAATAGGTACACGAGTTGTGGGAACTCGCTTTAAAGGTTAGGTTAGGTTTAGTATCCTACTAATATTATAAACTCGAAAGTTTGTTTCCATGTTAGGTACTCTTTCACGTAAAAACTACTCAATGGATTTTAATGAAACTTTACAATAACATAGATTATACATCAGAATAACACATAGGCTACAAATCACCCCCCTAGGTCCAATCTGGGGATGTGATCAAACGGTTAGACTTAAGGTGGAAATTTTTGTTTATAAATGGTTGCCATGGGTTTTAAAACTATTATAATAATAAGTATTGGTTGCCTTGAAATCAGTGTATTTTTTAAATTTTTTTATACGCTGTGTCTTGATATATGTATCAAAATTACGTAAATATTGAGCGTATTATACTCACATATGAGTTTCGTACATAAAACAATAAATTACTTGAACGAACAGACTCGGCACAATTAGTCCAACCGTTTAGGAGGAGTTCAGTTACTTGGTATAACTTTGATACTTAAATTATAAAGTTACGTACAAACCACAGGTAGATTGCCTACCTGATAATATACTGCTGCGAATCAGAATTTTTATTAGAGGCAACAGAAAAGATAAGATAAATTTTGAACACCATACACCGAATATTAAATAACGAATTGAACCGAGTTTGAGTCATATAGAGTTGGTACGTTTAACAGGAAACGAAGTGCACGGGATCAGCTAGTGTTATATATATATATATATATAATAAATATATTACCACAATATATAGTAATAGGCACAATATAACGGAAAGAGGTAATTATTTACAGCTTCAGCGACGTCAACCGAGCGCGTTTTCTGAACGACGTAATTTCGGTTTATTATTTTTTTTTTTTTAAATAAAACCGATTTTTTTTTCTACGGTCGTCTTTGAATTGTCTCTCGAGTGTCGAGGGTAATGAGCGTCTATTCACTCGGCTCGCGTTCGGCACACACACACACACCTATAATATATTATATTATTATTTATATATACGCACTCGTGACGAAGCGGCGGATGCGGAGGATATACGCGGACACGAGACACGATTAGCGGCAAACCTATAAATAATATTAATGATAATATATATATATATATTATTTACACGTGTAATTCGTCAACCGATATTTATTTATACAAATTAGGTCCGTGACGACCGCGACAGTCGTAGGGCCTTTAATGGACTGTGAACGATTGTTTTTGTTTCGTGTTTTTTTTTTTATACTCACATTAAAACGTGCGCTCAGTATACCTACATAAACTATATATAGGTATTTCGTTACTCGCTGGTACCTATATAGGCGGTAACCACTCGGGCGGAGAGCCTCGGCGGTAAAGGACGTAGGACGACCGTTGGCTGTCGTAGTACCCATACCTAAGTATCATTACATAATATAATAGATATATTAGATCTGTTTAAATTGAAACGTCACTGAGACAAAATACGTCCGCGTCCCTTATTGTTATTACTACCGAGATAGAAGAGCCCGGAATCGTTATAACTTTGCGTTGGTTTCAAAAAAAAACACGACAAAGACCACCACCGCCGCCGCCGAAGCTCCGAGTCTAGTCTAGCTGTGCAGTTTACGATAAAAAAAAAAAAGTAAAACATTGTTGGTCGTATGAATTACTCTATA